TAATTTTGGGGAAGCCTTAAACCCTATAAAAGGCCTACATACTTCCATATAACCCCCTTTATACCCCTATAACTCCCCCTGTAAAGGGACCCCTACTCTTGGCAAACCCTACACTCTATAAACTCCTGATATGCTCCATATAACCCCTATATAATCCTTATAACCCCTTTAATATAAAGGCACCCTTAATTCTGGGTTAAACCCTCAACCCTAAAAACGCACAGCCAGGCAGCTCGAGTTCAACCATGTCGAACTTGTTCGCCACATGCTCGGACAGACAGGCAAGCTTGTCAAGCTCGCTCCTAGCTTTTAAGCTACTTATCACAGATCCTCCGTGAAGGGCTATGCATATATACATATATACAGAGGTCTAGAGGGTATGTAGAGCTCAGGCTTGAGGGCTCTGCATATGTGGGTGGTGTGTGCATGTGTTCAGGGCGTGGGTGTTGGACCAATGATTACCTTCATCATCTTGGGGTACAGGAAGAGTTTCCCAACTGTAGACAGGCGTGATCGTTCTTGCAGCCTCCCACCGTTCCATCCCTGCCTTTCCAACATCCGTTGTCATCTACGCAGGGTGAGCGTGGTACTTGCACAACTACAGTACACAATGCTGGTGTAAGTGGGAACCCGGAACCCTAAACCCTGTAGCTCTTTCAAACCCTCCAAAAATGGGGTGCCCCGGGATCCTTTTCTTGGCTTCCGCGGCGGATGATGCATCAACATGGGCTCCGCGTCAGCGTTCATAAACTTCGATGATGAACTGTGAAGAAAGCCTAGCAGCTCACTGCTAAGAGTTTCTGATCTGCGGCTTCAAAGGAGTCCGAGATAAATATAGGCGGATCGCCAGGAAGGTGCTCATTCTTGCGTCTGGGGCCAGGCATTCATGCCAAGAATACTTTAACCTGAACCTCATAGCCTTCGGCCTGGAACCTGAACCTTCGGCCCTGTGATCGCGGTGATACCCTAAACCATACAGACCCTAAAACCCCTAAATCGCTATACCCTAAACCCCTGAATCCCTAA